TTTTTTTTTTTTTCTCACTCAAGCAAACATTCCCTTGGAAGTTAACTTAGTAACCTATGTTTTCAGTTCATAGGTCTCTGGATCAAGAGGACCCACATCCTTACTTGATGCAAGGACTACTCTGTGCCCCCAGGGGCCTCAGACTTGATGTTGTGGAGCTGTGGGGCTTTGGCTGCTTCCCTGGAAGGGTGGAGAGTGTATTTTGCCTGTGGAAGGGAGAGCGTGACCAGAGGGGCAGATTGAGTAGTCACTAGCTCAGCTTACAGATGATTTTGAGTGTTGGCCTCCCGCGCATGTCCAGGGTGGTACTTCCCTTCCCCCATAGAGTCAGGAGTGAGCTGCTTTGTCCAGGGGATAAAGCAGAAGTTATGTGTGTCTCTTCCAGCTGAAGTTACGTGTGTCTCTTCCAGCTGGAAGCTTCAAAAGCCAGTGTGGCCACACAATCATGGCTGTTCTGTCAGCCGGGACCTGGAGTGAGGGGATGTGGAACAGAATCCCCAGGTAGCATGAGTGAGAAACAAACTCTTGTCTTTTTAGGCCCTAAGATTTGAGGGTTGTTGGTGACCGAGGTGTATGTGAAGTCATTTTGGGGTTGTTACCACTACAGTATTTTGGCCGATATAGAAAGAAATACTCCTCTTCTGCTTTGCACAGGGTGGTGCTTGGAGCTGCAGCATCCATCTTACAACTCAGAGAAGATAAGCTAAAAAAAAAAAAAAAAAAAGTAAAGATTACATACAGAGAAAGGATGGTGGATGGTGGAGCAGAAAGACGCAAAGGACCTGGGTCCCCGGGGTAGAGCTATCAAATTTGCCCCTGGGGCTTTCCTACCACCAGGCTTCCTGTGATGTGAGAAAACAAAGCCCCTTTTTATCATGGACGATTGGGTATTATTACTTGCAGCTGCACAGGTGTAGCAGCCCGAGGAATGGCTCAACAAAGGTACTCATGTTTTAATCCCTAGTACCTGAGAATGTGTTTCTTATACGGCAAAAGGGACACTGCTGGTGTGATTAAAGTGTGGATCTTACGATAGGAAGATTATCCTGGATTATTCCCATGGGTCCATGTAAACAAGTCCTTTTAAAGGGAGGCAAGACGGTCAAACTCAATAGAAGATGGAACCATGAAAGCAGAGCTTGCAGTGATGCATTTTGAAGACAGGAGAAGGGATCAGGAGCCAAGAAATTCAGGCAGCCTCTAGGAGCTAGAAAAGACAAGGAAATACATTTTTCCTTGGAGCTGTGAGAAGGAACCGCTCTGCTAACACCTTGATTTTGACCCTGTAAGTCCTATTTTGGATTTCTGACTTCCAGAAATGTAAGAGAATAAATTGGAGCCATCTTAAGCCACTCATTTTGTGGGAATTTGTTACTGGAAACGAATACAGATGGCATCCACTAACCTCGTAACAGCAGACCACACCGTCATCTCTCCAGCAAAGTAGCCTCTGGAAGGGAACAGCTAACATTTCCTTGAATATTTAAAAGGAAACTCAACAAGGTATATGAGAATTAGGGAGCAGAAAGGAAGGAACATTTTCCACTTAGGTTATAACTCATTTCCCTCCAGCCACAACAATAAAAAAAGGAGGGCCCTGGGAAATGAGTATCGTGTTCGGGTTGATCGCCTGGTCATGAAAGGAGCTCCCAGCTACCCTGGACTGCAATGCTGTAGACCTGAGTCGCCTTTAGATTACAGTGATGTTAGAGTTCACAGTAATGCCCAGTTCAGGGAAGAGGTGAGATACAGCTGAGGAGGGGCCAGAGCTGGACCCAAGCTATCTTGGGTCATGGGGGTCAGGCAAAGTGGCTGGTCCGGGGATTTGCTGAGTGCGTCAACCGGCTCAGTCCTGAGCAGCCGGGCCTCTGGTGCAAAGGTCCACGTGACTGGCACCCTTTCTAGGGATCTAATACTTGTTTCTTGTGGCCCACAAATCTGGAGGGACAATAGATAACTGGAGGATAGAGTTTCCGGTTCCTCGGAAGGGCAAGGGGAGGCCACCGTAGGAGCGCCCACTTGGGGTGTACCGCGCGCCCAGGAAGCCAGGGAAGGGCGGGGCCAGGGAGGGAGGGGCCAGGGAGGGAGGGGCCAGGAAGGTGAGGAGGGAGGAGACGGGTCCGGTGGGGTGGAGAGAAAGAGGGCGTGCGCCGCGGGCCCCACCTGCAGGGAGCTGGAGGAGGCGCGGAGCAAAGCCGGCCCTGCAGCCACGCGGAAAAGCAGTGAGGTGAGCGCGATGGAGCCGGCGCCGGATCTGGGGGCTCGGGGACTCCTCCCTGCACCGCTACCTAGACGGCAACTTCTGGAGCCTCAAGAACGAGCTGCGCAGGCTCCTCGGCGGCTGCCCGCTCTTCCGGCAAAGGTACCGCGCTGCGGCCGTCGACCCTGCCCGCGCCCACGAACCCGCCGAGCTTGTCTCCTCGGTCCCCGGCGCGTCGCTGCGGACACCGACCCGGCGAGGGCGAGGTGGGGTGTGCGCTGCGCCTGAGAGGCAGGCCCCTTCCTCACCTGCAGATGGTGGGCTCTCCCCCGCCAGGTGTGTGGGCGCAGCCGGCCGGCCGCCGCCGACTTCCTCGGCCCCCTGAGAGGCGTCCCTCGCCTCCTGAGCTCCCTCCTCCACGAAGAGTCGGGTGCGGGGCTGGACCCCGCAGTGGCGGGCGCGGTGTCTGCTGAGACAGTGTGGCTGGAAGATCGGCCTCGCTTGTTTGCTAAACCTGTTTCTTGAGTCCCTACCCCGCGATGTCCCACCCTTGGTGGGGAGAAGGGGACAGAAAAACCGGGCTGGGATGGGATGGGCGCACAGGGATGGAGTGGCCCGGTCCAGGGCGTGTGTGGGCGTCGGGGTGGGACAGACTTACAGGGCCGCCTCTGAGTGCAGGTGTGCGGAGCGGAGTGGGCAGCTTCAGCGGGGCAGTTTGGTTATAAGAACTCAGGTCCTCGATGTCATCCGATGCCAGGACAGCCCTGAGAAGCAGGCAGAGGGGTGAGTGCAGCTCAAGTCTGGAGAAGGAGAAATGGCTCAGTCACCGGACAGAACTCGGCATTCGTGTCTCCTGTGGACTCTCTCTCTCTCATACCCATTTCAAGCAGTCTGAAAAGCCCAGTTAGAGCCATGCTTTGGAGTTCTAGCTTAAGAAAGCCCTATTAAAAATGTCAGTATGTGCCCGTGGAGGATTGATTGGTTAGCCATGCCCACTTAGCCCTCGTTTAATTTATTTTGCGGAAACGAGAGGGAAGGAGATGGCTGGAGGGAACGTCAGGCTGCCCTTGGAAAATCTGGGGTTCCTGCACTGGTGTTACCTAGTGGGGAGTTGGGGGCGTTTGAAAGTTGAAAAGTGAGAAGTGTGAGATGGTGGGTGTGTCCATCGGTGTCTCCCCCACTTCTCTTTCGCCCTGTTTCATACATAGTTCTTTAAGTTATGGTTCTCAAAGTGTGATACAGGGAGCCTTGGGGGTACCCAAGAGCATTTCAGGGGATTCATGAGTTCAAACTGTTTTTATAGTAATACAAAAAAAGTTATTAGCTTTTTCACTCTCATTCCCTCACTGATGTACGGTGGCAGTTTCCAGAGACCACATGATGTGTAGTATTCCAACAGAAAAAATATAGAAGCAGATATGAGGATACAGCTGCTTTCTATTAAGACAGACGGTAAAGGGATTTGTAAAAATGTAGAACAATTCTACTGTTCTTGCTAATTTTTTTTGTTTTTGTTTTGGAAAATAGTTATTTTCATAAAACACACTAATAGATTTATTAGTTATTTTCAAATGAATTAATAAATATTTGAAAACTTTTCTGTTTTAATTTCTAATACAGTAAATATCAGTGGATATAACCCACCCAAATAAAAGCTCTTTAGGGACCTCATAATTTTTTTTTTTTTTTTTTTTTTTTTTGATATGGAGTCTTGCTCTGTTTTCCAGGCTGGAGTGCTGTGGTGTGATCTCGGCTGATTGCAACCTCCACCTCCTGGGTTCAAGCGATTCTCCTGTCTCAGCCACCACGTCTGGCTAATTTTTTGTATTTTTAGTAAAGATGGGTTTCACCATGTTGGCCAGGCTGGTCTTGAGCTTCTGACCTCAAGCGATCTGCCCACCTTGGCCTCCCAAAGTGCTGGGGACCTCATAATTCTTAAGAGTGCAAAGAGTTCCTAAGATCAATAAGTTTGTGAATGGCTGCTTTGAGTCATACTGAGTTCAGTTGCATCTGATTAGACACACATCCCTTCCTATATTCCTCAGTCTTTTCAGTTTGTTCCTGGGCTATCACCTCTTTGTCTTTCAGTTTAGATAATTGCAGTTTAAAAGATGGAACAAAATTGTAATAACCAAACTACTGATATGAGGCAAGCAGAAGGGACTTCCTTGTGAATTCCATAGGGACAGAGGAGAGGCATGCCTGGATAGGGGAGCCAGTGCAGTAGTTTGTTTCCTGTGTGACTGCTGTCCTGTGATTTGTTTTTTTTGAGATGGAATCTCGCTCTGTCACCCAGGCTGCAGTGCAGTGGTGCATCTCGGCTCACTGCATGCTCCACCTCCTGGGTTGACGCCATTCTCCTGCCTCAGTCTCCCGAGTAGCTGGGACTACAGGCGTTCGCCACCACGCCTGGCTAATTTTTTTGTATTTTTGGTAGAGATGGGGTTTCACTGTGTTAGCCAGGATGGTCTTGATCTCCTGACCTCATGATCCGCCCACCTCGGCCTCCCAAAGTGCTGGGATTACAAGTGTGAGCCACCGTGCCCGGCTGATTTTTTTTCCCCCTTATTGACTTTACATTTGCTCATCCACAGAATGCAGATAATATCAATGTTGATGTATTATGAAGCTTCAATGAAAAACTGTTGCGTGGGCATGGAGTAAACACTGGTTGTGGTGGGATACCAAAACACACATGCACACAAAGGGCAAAGCAAAAATCCCATTGCCCTGACAAAAACTTTTCCATTCTTTCCAGTTCTTGTTTATTTACTTTATAATTCAGAGTTGTAGCAATGGCATGAGCAACATTTCACATTTTTTCCCAGAATGGTTAAAGATTCTGATATCTGTCTATTTGAAAGTTCATATTGTACTATCAGATTTTACCTTAGCCCGTGTTAGAAGACGGCGATCTTGATTTCTGGATGTTTTGACATTCTGCTAATGTAAAATGTTCTATAGGAGATGAGAAATAAAACTTCTTCTTCTCTGAAGCAATGCCAGATCTCCTGTGGCTTGTCCTCACCTTACCCCGAACAGGTCTTTGCAGTTAAAGTAGGTGTAGGGGAGAGGGTTGTGCCAGCATAGTGGTGAGTGCTGTGTGTACATAGTGAGAAGTTTGTACAGGGCCCGGCAATCCCAGGGCATAAGAGCTCAGGAAACAGTTTTCCTCCAAAAGAGGTTGTGCAACTTCCTACACACACAGTGGGTGGCCACTCTCCTCAGAGGAGGAGTTCATTTCCAGAGTGCTGGCCATTGGCTCCCAGGGGCAATGTGAGCACAGCCCAGGTTCCTCTTCTAAGGAGCAGCTTTTTCTTTCCCAAGGATGAGCCTGCTGGACTGAGTCCTCAGACTCCGGGAGCGCCCTGGCTGCTGTGGCCGCCCCGTCCTATTGTGCATCTGACCAGGTGTGCTGCTTGTTGTGACAGCGGGAACATTCTGGGTGACTGGCGACTCCTCATTGGGGTTTGCAGGGAAGGTTAAAAAGCAACATCTGAAATGAGATAAGCTTTTGAGATTGTTCTGAGTTTGTTTATTGGCGAAGGGAAGCTGTCTCAGGAGAGGCTGGCTGGCAGAGGCAGGTACAGCACACACCCCTCACCCAGAGAACTGAGAAAGCCCCTCCGCAGGATTCTGTTCTCCCAGGGCCTTCTTACACCCTTCTTCTCCCACTTGTAGCTCCTGGCTGCTTCCTTCTCCCTTTCTTTCTCTTTATCCCCTTCTCTTTCCTTCCCTAGAGCAAGGCACATTTCTCTTCCTAACTTTTTCATACATTTAGTTTTTCCCCTGAGTATTTCACAAACACGTTCTCACTAGGAAGAGTCAAATAATTCGGAAAACTTGAAAGTTTCCCAAAATGTTTCCTCCTGCAGCCATTTTTTTTAAATTGTGGCAAAATACGCACTATATAAAACTGACCATTTAACTGCTTCTGAATGTACACCTCAGTGGCATTAAGTGCATTCACATTGTTGTGCAACCATCACCACTGTCCAGCTCCAACACATTTCATCTTCCCAAACAGAAACTCTGTATGTGTTAGACACTAACTTCCCACTCCCCTCTTCTCCCAGCCCCTGGCAGCCCTCATTCTACATTCTGTCTCTCAGCATCTGACTATTCCAGGTACCATATAAGTGGATTCATACAGAATTTGTACTTCTGTGCCTGGCTTATTTACTCAGTATAATGTCCTCAAGGTTCATCCATGTTGTAGCATGTGTCAAAATTCCCTCCTTTTTGAAGGCTGAATAATATTCCATTGTATGTATATACTACATTTTGATTACTCTTTTTTTTTTTTTTTTTTTTTTTTTTTTTTTTTTTTTTTTTTTTTTTTTTTTTTGAGATGGAGTCCTGCTCTGTCCGGCAGGCTGGAGTGCAGTGGCACAATCTCGGCTCACTGCAAGTTCCACCTCCCGGGTTCACGCCATTCCCCTCTTCAGCCTCCCGAGTAGCTGGGACTACAGGCACCCGCCACCATGCCTGGCTAATTTTTTGTAATTTTTATTTAGTAGAGATGGGGTTTCACCATGTTAGCCAGGATGATCTTGATCTCCTGACCTCGTGATCCACACACCTCAGCCTCCCAAAGTGCTGGGATTACAGGCGTGAGCCACTGTGCCCAGCCTACATTTTGATTATTCTTGTATCTGTTGATAGACATTTGGCCCCCCAGCCACTTTTACTACTTCACTGTGGTTGTTTTAGTGTATTTTGCTGTGTTAGTGTGGTTTTTCCACATTTTTCTATTTTTCTTGGAGTGCATACACATATGTGCACGTCATTTTGTTATATAAATAGGATCTCACTGTGTGTTTTGTTCTACAGCTTTCTCTTTTAAAATTTAATTCTTATTTTCATTGATGAAATGTATGAAAATATTTAATGAACTTATACTGTGAGGTTTATGATGAAAAACAGCCATGCCCTGCCTCAACCCTCTTCATCCCTCATTTCTTTTCCCTGTGGGCCACCACTCTCAATTCTCTTACTTCATGCTCATGTAATTTACTCCATATTCCTAAGTAACATGTCTAAAGAGCCACCTCTTGGTTATCTACTGGCTTACTCTTCTAGAAAATGAATATTTCTCACTACAGCACCATTTTCCTTTTCCTATTCTCTGAAACTCAGTGTATCACCATTTTTACTTAAATCAGTATCCAATGTTCACATTGTTATGGCTATAAAAATACTATTTCCATCCACGCCCCATAGTGTACCATATTTTATTTCCTTCTGTCACAGCCTTTTTATTTCTTCAGAGATCATCGTCTCCTTTATCCATTTGCTTAGTTTTCTATAAGCCCATCACTCACTGACCTCCACACTAGACGGATATGAAACAGAACAGATAAAACAGATTTATCACAGGACAGAGAAGTTCCACTCATCCCACTGTGGTCAAACCTGTCAGGTAATTGGGAGTTCCACCCCTCCTGCCCCGCATGGACACATTCATTCTGGAGGCCTCCTTCTGCGGCTTCAGTCCGGTTGGGCTCTCCCTGCATCTTCACCACCCCCTTGGGAATTTTCCTTGCATTTCCTCTCTGGTCAAGTCACAGTTTTCCCAGGCTTTCTCTTTCTTGGTTACCCTTTGTAGAAGCTTAGAGAGGACACCCCTCCTGCCCCACATGGACACATTCATTCTGGAGGCCTCCTTCCGTGGCTTTAGTCCGGATGGGCTCTCCCTGCATCTTCACCACCCGCTTGGGAATTTTCCTTGCATTTCCTCTCTGGTCAAGTCACTGTTTTCCCA